ACAAGATTATTTTCTATTTTATTTTTAACTGCCTTTAAAATTTCATAATAAGAACCTTCAAATGCTAGAGAATTTGCAAAATGCTACTCAGAAATTAAACTAACAACTCCTTAATTGATAAATAAGCCTAGAAAGAAAATTTAAGCAAAATTTTACTTATAAAATTTGGGTGCATCAATCATTTGACTCATTATTAAAAATTCTAATATATGACATATTGATTGACTGATATTAAAATACAAAAATTTAAAAAAACTGCGCCGTAAATAGTTTTTTGTATTTATCTCGCAATCTAGTGATCCAAATTTAATGTTTTTGATACCATTAGAATTATTTCATCGAAACGAATCGAATGACACCAAATCGTTAAATTTGAATTATTGGTTACTGAGATAATTAGATATTTTGCAATTTTAGTTAAATGCAATTATCTCGTGATCTAGTAATTCAAATTTAACGATTTTAATACCATTCGATTCATCTCGATGAAACAGTTTGAATGATATCAAAATCATTAAAATTAGATCACTGGGTTACAAGATATCATTGATTTTGTTATTTTTTGTATTTTTGCAGATCTTTACTTCTTTATGTAAATTATAGATAATCTTTAACAGTAAACTTGTAAACCATTGATTGCGCAATTCTTTCGACAGTCTTTTTTTTTTTTTTTTATTATTTAACCTTAATGGAATGTTTATTTTAATGAAACCAGTTTAAGCAAAACTCTAATCTAATAATTCAATAAAACTTTGATTACAAAAGATGATCAATTTTTTTTTTTTTTTATACAGTAAAAGACATCCAATCTATACATAAGAGTGCCAATTTTTGATGCTTACAAATCAATTCTGACTGGCTAATTTTTGTGTAATTGATTCTGATTGGTTAAAAATATATATATGTTTTCTTTTTTTTTATATTAAATGCCAATTTTTTGAACTCATAAACTTTAATCCTTTATAACTTTTTTAAAACAAAGAGTAAAAAAAATCCTCTGACAGAAATGTAGTTTATCTAAAAATCTATCAATTTGTCAAAGAGTTTTTTAATTTAGCTTGTCTTAAAAAAGTTATAACACTTTAAAGTTTTTATTAATAAACATTGGATGCATTTTACTGTCTGGTACTGTATATATCTATATATTGGTGTAATGATTTTAACTGGCCAATCATAGTCGAATAATTGTGATCGACAGGCTGCATATTGGCAACCAATAAAACTAAACTCCCGCTATGCTTATAAATTACTAATCAAGAAACTCCGGGTCTCTTACATTTCACTAAATTCTGACCCGGGTAATAGAGGGGGTCTACCAGCTGTCCCACAAAATTTTTTCCACCCCTTGTAATAACGGCCAATCGAATTTCAGGATCAGGTGTAATGTGAAAATCGAACCGAAGCAAAAAAACAAGAATAGCTCTAAATTTTAATTAGGAAACCGCCTTCTGTGATCTAATGAAAAATGTTCCTTGTACAATTTTACTTGTAGACGTCACATTATTCTAGTCCTAACCCTAACTATAACGCGGTTTTCTTTAATTTTGCACGTAACTTTTTACTTAGAAAAACAAAACACGACTAAAAATTTTGTGGAACAGCTACCTAAAATGGTCAACTATCAAGGGGTATTTTATATGGCCATTTATGGTACTTTAAGAATTGAAAAATTTATTATTCAGTTGAAATGATCATTATCATTACCAAATTTGGGTTTGTCCACAAGATTTTCTACGTGTCCCGAGCTTTAAGAGGCCTCTCTGATTGATTCATATTTTTAGGTTTGCTTTAGTCATTCTATGAGGATAAGAACGCGAAAAACACGAACAACACGAACGTATTTTGACGAAGTTATCGTTGACGAGTGGTCATACAAGGGATTTGTAAGCTATGCAGTAAAATTTGGCCTATTTGACAAAAAACCCATTTGCAATTTCTAATACAAGAAGTGTTTAGAGGAAATTGAGCGAAGATATAACCATTTAGACAAAAAAAGATTAAAGGCATCTTCATTAAAGAAATCTTTCAAGGTTAGTAAGTTTTTTTTTTTTTTTTTTAGAACGGCATAACTATTGCAACACAACTTGATTTTAAATCAAGTCAATACTAGACGGGGTATTCTGCGTGCTACCCTGGGTTTCCTTGGCGTGTTTCAATATGTTCTGCTATGTTGTTATTAGACCTATAAACTGTCGGAATTAGCCCATTTAGACTTAAGGCTAAGGCTAATTAAACCTAAGGCTAAGGTTAATTAGGCCTAAGGCTAAAGGCTAAATAAAGGTGCTAGAGTTAAGGCTAGTAACAGCATTGACATTAAATGAAATTGATACCACGGGGTGCTCTGCGCGCCATCCCGGGTTTCCTCAATACATTTTTAACTGTTTAGATATAATTCTTTTTTTATTTGATACTAATTTATTGCATCTTTTACTCTTATATTCGAGTTTGACGTAAAAATGGAACGAGATCAATTGAATATGTTTGATGATTTGATGAGAAATGAGGCGATTGAAGAGGTGAGCACAATATTATTATAAAAACATATTGACCTTTTTCATACACTAAATACATTTAATAATATAGTACGCGTACCAAACTATATTAAATACTCATGTGCGGGAAGAAAAACAATTATTTTCTAGACAGCAACTAGAGTCACGGAAACGAAGTTGTGTAAATATTAATTTATTTTACATTTACAATTTTATATTTATTAAATTTTAATTTTAATTTTTATTTAGATTAGCATTAATATTAAAAAAGGCAAAAGTTACAGCACCCAGTATTCCCATGTTGTCCCCAACCATAGTACTGACTGGGCCATCAGTGGCTTATCTTCGGAGATCGGACGGGTTCCGGAGCTTTTCACTGTGTATGGCCGTAACTGTTAAGAATCCAAAATAATTTTTTATAAGCAGCCTTTCCAGAAAATAATCTTGATTTTGACTCTGTTAATCGCGAAATCGGACCCAGGAAGCAAGATATGTAAGTTTCTCTAGATCGTTTTTGGTTCAAGCAAGCTAGCTAAAGGTGCCAAAATAATCGCTTTTAGATCTAAACTAAAGCAAGATCATTTGGACAAAGAAAATAGGGTATAATAGAGCTTTTTAACACAAAAAATGTATTTATATTGCAAATTGTTTTGTGTTCATTTTTAATAGATTATAATATTTTTATTAGGATGACAATAAAGTTTATTCTGATGCATCATATATCTCACATTCCGGAGATGTCAGAGACAGGAATAGTAGTTTGTCCTAATGTTACATTATAATTCATTGTATATTACTATTTTTTTTTTTTTTTTACGCGTATTTGATAATTTTGAATCATCTTTACAGCTAATACGTATAGAGGAACGAATCTCCAGCTTAATCATTCTAATATTATCATGCCCAACGATAATCCTTCAATTGGTGCTTTGGACCTATGTTCTAATTGTCCCGAAGAAAACGGTGGTTGCTATGGTAGTGATAGCTTGACAAAGGATGTATCAATAGAGATCAAAAATCTCATCACAAAGATGAACGATGGCAATCGCCTTTTTGAATATCGAATCGTTAATCTTTCAGAAAAAAATCATACTGATCCGGTAAATCAAGTCTTCACAAGTAATGATAAAAAAATAATGAAAGACCTTTGGAAAAAGGTATATATTTCTTATTCTATCAACTTTAAATTAAATTAATAATTAATTTAATTATGAATGTTCTTTAGATGGAGCCGTCATCCGATGAAAAACAAAATATATCACTAAAATTAAAATGGGAAACAAATATTAAGCCTCAAATTAAAAAATACACGCATGCTATTAAAGTAAAAAAGGAGTCGATTTTTGATGATAACAATAATGGAACATCGCTGAAAGTTATCTTTGAAGCACCATTCAAGGACGAATTTAATTATAAAAAACATTATGAGATTATTTGGGCACGGGACATATATCAGCGATTGTAAGTTACCTAAAATCCTATTATTTAATATAATACACATAATTTATTCACATATTTTTTTTCAGCATATGCCTATTCAACACTCCTTTCAATATTCTTCGCGATTCTGATACATCAGAAATAGCATATAGGGATTCATTCGTGAATCCTATAATCCCAAAGGTGTTTGACGATGTGAATGATAAGATTAGATTTCCAGTGTACGTAATTATTATCTACAAGACTCATTTATGCAGTATATATACATACTCAACGCATGTTATTTTTAGCGGGGAGATCGAAAGTAACTTACGCAAGCAACATAGGAATCAGACGAGAGGTATAAAACCTCGCGTTTATCTCGGTTCCAAACATGACCTTAAAAATGTATGTAAACGCTTGTGAGTTTGAGATTGGATTTTTCGAAATCGTTGGAAGTCCAACAAAAGTCGATGTAAAAGGCTATTATGAAGATCTTGAAAAATTACTAAAAGGTTCATAATCACTTATTTTTGTTTTATTTTACAAGATTTTAATAAAAAAAATTCATAATATTTATTTATTTAGGGAATTGATATTTCCACACCCTTTTTTGATATTGCCACACCCCTGCTAACTCTAAACCCTAACCAAACCCTAATA